TGTTATCAATTTTTTATATTATGCAATTTTGCAGATTATATAAACGAATTGTCCCTCTCTTCCATTCAGCCAGCGATAAAATTAAAGGAAAGAAATTTCGCTTCATAATTAACTAATTCTGTTAGTACTCAATTACGGATCGATAATAAACTCTATATAATTTCTGAGCAACCTTATCATGAATTTTATGGCTTATATTTTTTTGATAATCAAGTTATTTTGATAAATTAACTCTTGAATTTCACGATGAATTTCACGTTGTTCATTAAGCACTTGTGAAATAAATATCATCTGTAAAAATTCCTTATGACAAAATGCGATGAGAACAAGTTACCTGCTAGCTTTCTGATGGAATTTCCCTCAATGAGAATAAAACAATGTTTTTCTAACAATTTTTCAGGCGTAAATTTTACTACAATTAGTACTAACAGAAATAGTTAATTATGAAGAGAAATTTCTTTCCTTTAATTTTATCGCTGGCTGAATGGAAGAGGGGGACAATTCATTTATATAATCTATAAAATTGCATAATGTAAGAAATTGAAATTGTAATCCTGCAAATATTATTAATAATATCAGTTCTATATTATTAATAATATTTGCAGGAATTTTGGATTATTTATTATGCTGCCATTTCCTATCACCAAATATTTCATTGCTCTAACAATAATGTAAGTTAAAATGATGAACAAATATTTTTGCTGTTATCACATCAGTTATTTTGTTTATGCATTATCATTCCCAATAAAAACATTTTGTAATACTGTTAACTCATTACTAAAAACGTGATTTCGTGTGCATGGTCTGCTAGCAGAATATGGTTGTGGGTTAAAACATCCAGATCTGCTTAGATTGGTATGTTCTTATTATGAATGAAGATATAATTGATCAAGTACCCAACTTGATGCTGGTGCGAGTATCAATGCAAGAACTCTCTTTCCGTATTATTTTTACAAATTGAATATTTACGATTAGCCACATTAGAGCTCTATTTCTACTAAAATTTTATTTGAAAACTATCCAAATATTCATTAAAAGATCTTTAACCTACCTGATACTGATATCAAGCCTGAAAGGCAGCATACTATTCAATTCAGCGACAGTACTAACGGCAATTTCCACTCGTTGGATACCGTATTGAATTTTTCCAAAAAAAATTAGTCCGTTAATTGAAGCAATAGTTCTCCTCAATTTCTTCTTTCACATCAAATGTGCGCTGTCATTGGGAAAATTTAAGCTAAACAAATGAGATATTTTCAGCGATATACAATACTTCGCAATAATTATTTGAGTTGCATATATTCTGCGACCGTTAATTTTTGGATATACTTGTTAGTTGGATTTTCAAGCTAATTTACTTCAAATATTTTGCTGTTTCGTCATTTCATCACATGTCAATTCAATTAGACAAAGAGAAAAATGAAAGAGATGACGTAGAAAACAATCTCTCCAAAAACAAAGCAATTAATTACGTAGAGAGAAAATAAATGGAAGAAATAGTGACATGGTGACGAATAAAAGAGGAACAATTCTTGACGTTATGCATACGGTAATAAGATTACGACTATAGGTGCTATAAGATTACAGTCAATTGGTATGTTATCATCTTATTAATCATATGCAACTTCATTGTATGCTTGTTGTGCCCATCAGTGACTTATGGATCAGTAATTTGTAGATTGAAAAGAAAGAAGGAAAAATGAATGGATATATTAATAATTGATTATTTCTGATGTTAATTATTTGTTGAATGTAATTAAGTCAATGTTTTCATAATAAAATATTTTATAACCAGGTTTATATTTACAGAATAACTCAATGAAGTGTACCATGATATCTAAATCCATAAAACAACGTTTATTATTTACAAAATAAGACCGTGAAATTGTATACAATTGCATGTGACGTTATGGTCGATACTTTATGAAGTACTTCCTTACATGCAGTCATTTCCCGATTCTATTTGCACAAATTGTTGATGTTCATTAAGTAAAATATAACTTTCTCTAATTAAATTGATTTGATTGGCGATATAATCAATTGATGAAAAAAGGATGATTAAAATGGCAATTAAAAGTGTACGATTAGCACATTTTTATTGCAGATAATCAATTGCTATATTTGAAGGAGGTGAGAAGAGCCATCTTAAGGTAAATGAAAGTTCTTAAAGAGAAAAATAGTCGGCGAAGTAAAAGGTGCACAATTTTTTTTTACGTTGAAACCAATTGTAATATTACGTAAAATAATTGCATTGCAGAAATCATTAATCGATGGTTTGTCTCTCTATCTTCATTTTTACACCATACAATGAGAATCAGAATCAATTAAAGCTACTGATAACATTATTCTCTCACTTGCTCACACAAGTGCTAATCTTTGATTACTTAAACATTACGCAAAGCATGCTAACTAAGAACATTTCTTTTGGCTCCATCTTTCATTCAATTATCAGGCCTAAATTAACAAACAGCCATATTAATTATACCTAAATAATGTATCTTACCATTTCAAAATTTTTAAGTCATTATTTAAGGAAAAAGTACAGATGACGCGGAAGAAAACGAATAAGTTTATCATAGCTGAATTTTTTTCCAAAAAATGGTCAGATATTTAAAGCAACAGTTCTCCTCCATCTCCTTATTTCTTCTTTCACATCAAATGTTTGCTGTCATTGGGAAAAATTGAAGCTAAACAACTGTAATTTCCGCGATACACAATTCATCAAAATAATTATTTGAGTTGCATATATTCGACGACCGTTTATGTCCGTTCATCCGTCCGTTCTATTTATCTCTTTCCGAAATGCGACAGTCCGTTTATTTCGTCTCCAAATACGAGATAAGAATCGAATAATGATTTTTGAATACACATTTTGTTAGTTGGATTTTGAAGCTAATTGGCTTCAAATATTTTGCTGTTTCATCATTTCATCACATGTCGTCAATTCAATTAAACAAAGGGAAAAATGAAAGAGATGACGCAGAGAACATAGGAACAATTCTTGTAATGAATACGAAGATATTGCATATGGTAGCAAAGGGTACTACAGTCAACTAGCTTAACAATCGTCCCGATAAGCGTAGGGAAAAAACAAACAACCACCACTCATGGTGATTGTTTGCTTTCCGGAAATATAATCGGAATAGTTTGCTTTACTTATTTGGTCATGCTTTGATCATCGTGCATTTCATATAATCAAAATTATCATTCCATACTGATAGAATTAATCACACGGTAATTTCACTTCCGATCATTCCGTAATCGATTTTCTTATTTTCTTGAAAGTATCATTTCCGAAGTAGAACTAGTAAGAGAGAATCATAACTGAATTCGTCAGAAGCACAAATTTCACTTTTCTTCAGAACTTGTTTTTTGTAAAAAGGAAAGGAAATGCAATGCTAACAATTTTGTACATTACAAATTCTAATTCTTTCATTATGCAATTTTGCTGATTATATAATTTAATTCCCTCTCTTCCAATTCAGCCAGCGATAAAATTGACGATATAAATTCCTCTTCATAATTAACTGTTTATGTTGGTACTTAATTGAGGATAAATGGTAGATTTTAGCAACCTTTCCTGAATTTTATGGCTTATCATTTTTTTGATAGCCAATTAATTATTTTTGACAAATTTAAGCCTTAAATGAATTTCGTGTTGTTCATTAAGCATTTGTAAAATATCATCTTTTGCGATGAGAACAAATCTGCGAACTTTACGGTTAATTCTGATGGAATTTCCTTCAATAAGAGTGAAACGAATATTTTTCTAATAGTTTTTTAGACGAAAACTTTATTGTAATAATATCAGTAATATTTGCAGGAATTTTGGATTGTTTATTATGTTGCTATCCCTTGTCATTAAATATTTCATTGCTCTAACAATAACGTAAGTTAAAGTGATGAACAAATATTTTTGCTATTATCGCATTAGTTGTTTAATTTATTCACCTGTCAATGTTTTTCTTCTCTTCCAGAACATTACTATCAATTGCTGAAGCAAATGCACAGGCGGATTTTAATATATTTTCATACAACAATTGGGCAGGCTCCCTTGTGAGTTTCATATTTCCTATAGGTTTTATTTTTGTAAATTTCCTATAAATTTCACTTAATGTATCACATATTGTGGTTTTCTTACTATCGTACCACTACAGTATTTGGCACATTATATATTTTAAAATTAATTGTTAACAACTTAATAAAAGCTTATTTTAAATTTCAGTCGTTGAACGATTTTCCAGCGGCTGCTCAACCTCCACCACCACCTGCACCACAAGCAGCTCCAGCACCAACTCAAGCAACATCGAATCCTCTTGGTCCATTATCTTCTGCACTTCTTTTGAGTTTGCTTGCAAGCAGATCGGCTGGTGGAGGCTCCCCATATCTTCAATATCCTTACTACAATGGATACGGTGGATATTATCCGTATTATTATTACTATGGTCGCTACCCATACTACTACTATTATTATGGTTAACTATTGCGCTGTTGCGTCGTTATGCTTCCGAAATCTATTTCATGAAATATTTCATAAAATCGGTGCCTGTAGAACAGTGCTTTCAACTGAAAAATAAAAAGCATTGTTTTAATTGTAAAATAAGACTTCGAAACTGTGCCTCAATTATAGATTCATATTCCATTCATAATGTTTTCTTATTCAAATTCAAAAAATATGTTCCAATAACTCGTCATATAATTATCAATAACAATAGCAATTAAATGATAATTGGTATTGAGAGGTGATCATAGAATGCCAGCACTTTACGTAGTTGTCGAAGTTGCGGAATTTTTTATCACTATTTAATATTAATCATTGTTATCTTTTTACCGCAGTTATTATGAATAATATAAGTGAATTTTTATTTGGTACAGAAAACTGAAATCAAAACAAATTCCATTCTTGTCAAAGGATGATGACTATTAACAAGAAATTCGGTACTAAAACACCTGATGACTATCAACAAGAAATTCGGTACTAAAACTCATAAAGACTAAAACTGCCGTCATTCGATACATACAGAAATCCATTCGATGCCCCATGGTGCACTAATGGATAGCAAGTTGCAAATTTCCTCAATATTAAATGAATCAATGATATGACTCAAATGATGCAATATATCTTATTTTTTAAAGGGAATTTTTATAGCTTATAACTCTTACTTCAATAATACATATCATTGGAAATATTTAAATAGAATAAAAACAAAAGCTTAATGACTGCATAGAAGTATGCTTACTTGTATGATCTTTATTAGGCCACCATCCAAGTGTACAATTTTCACACAAACGTAATGTATTGTTTATAATTTGATGTGCCAAACAAATCCAACAAGCCGCTGTTTCTCTTTGCTGTAAATCACCAAATTGAAAAATTTTTTTCATAATTACTTCCAGTTACTGAAGTAATCAAAATTACTCTATCCCGAGACTGCATAATTAATCTTATACAAATAATTACACGGGAGAAAAATTACACGTTTATTTTTAAAACTTCATTATATAGATATTGAATTATACGATTAAACTCATTCGTCGTCCAATTTTACAATGTTTACTGCAAACCGATTCAGGAATTAAATTTATTTTATCATAAAACATAATCTCGCTATATATAATATTAAAATGAATGGATATATTAATAATTGATTAATACTAATTATTTGTTGAAGATATGATTTCCCGAGAATCGAATATAATTCTTGAATATGCATCGAATATAATTCCTGAATATGCATTTTGTAGCAGTTGAATTTTGAAGCTAATTGACTTCATCACGTGTTGTTGTGATAATTTTTTCGAAACAAAACCGTTATTTGCTAGGCTTGTCGATTTCTTGAAATTATGCGTTTAGATCTGCTGAACTCATGAAATCATATGCTTAGGCCTTGAAGCACAACAGTCTCCAGAAACAAAGTAATTTTATATTTCTATTCCCCTTCATTTGCCAATTCATTCAATTTTGAAAAAGCGAAAAAATTCAATTAGAGAGAGAGAAAAATGAAAGAGATGACGGAGAGAACATGGTAAAAATACTGATGTGAATACGGGGTTATGGTATGTATATGGTTAGGTTATGTATATGGTAGCTCAGCGCACCATAATCAACTAGCTTAACAATCGTCGTCCCGATGAGCGTGACATTATAACCGCTTCATACATCCATCCATAACATTAATTAACTCTTTTTGTTATCGGTTCAAACCCACTTTTATTGTCTATCTGTCAATTACATACCAGGAACGAATGCCAGGAACGAATTCTTTATTGACCATCAGTTTCATATCCAAAATGAATAATTTTCTACACCGCCCCGCTCGTAACGTGAGCATCTCGGTATAACTTACAGCTCTGAAATGAAGCTCTCCAGCCATCTACACTCCTCTGAACCATTAAATACAAGCACTCCCAAATTATCCTCCTGAATCAACCAGTAAAGAGGAATAATCATAGCTGAATTCGTCAGAAACACAGAAATTTCACTTTCCTTCAGAACTTGTTTTTTTGTAAAAAGAAATGGAAGTGCAATGTTATCAATTTTGTACATTACAATTTCAATTTTTTATATTATGCAATTTTGTGGACTATATAAACGAATTTCTCCTCTTCCAATTCAGCCAGCGATAAAATTGAAGGAAACAGATTTCTCTTCATAATTAACAGTTTTTGTTGAATGGTAGATTCCATGTAATTTCTGAGTAACCTTATCCTGAATTTTATAGTTTACCATTTTTTTGATAATCAAGTTAATTATTTTGGCAAATCAAGCCTTAAATAAATTTCACATTTCATTAAACATTTTTAAAATAAATATTATCTTCTGTAAAAATTGCGATGAGAACAAGTGCCCTGCTAACTTTACGGTTAATTCTGATAGAATTTCCTTCAATAAGAATAAACGACACAATTCGCAATTTGACGCAATAACAACGCAATTCCTTGAATGTTGATAGAAACAAGTCATTCTATTTTGTGTTATTTAGTAGTTAGTAAATTAATACCATAAAATAGATAATCGAAAACCTGTTTGATCGATGTATGATGATAAGTCTGACAAGCAAAAAGAAATGGCATCAATTAAGTAATTATTACGATGGCAGATAGAAGACAAGATAGCGCACATCTCTCCGTCATTAATCTATTTAATTACATAGAGAGAAGCGAAATGGAAGAAATAATAATATGGTGACGAATTAATCATACACAACTTATTGTATGCTTGAATTGCCCATCAGCAACTTATGGATCAATTATTTATGGATTGAGAAAAGGAAGGAAAATGAATGGATAAATTAACAATTGATAAAATTCGATGCCAATTATTTGTTGAATGTAATTAAGTCAATGTTTTCATAATAAAGTATTTTATGACCAAGTTTATAATTACAGAATAACTCAATGAAGTGTACCATGAAATCTAAATCCATAAAACAACGTATATTAGTTACATAATAAGACTTTGAAATTGCGTGTCAATTGCATGTGACGTTATGGTCGTACTTCATGAAGTATTTCCTTATCATGCAGTCATTTCCGTATTTCATTTGCATAAATTGTTGATGTTCATTCCGTAAATATCACCTTCTCTAATTAAATTGATTTGATTGGCTTAAACAACTGATGAAAAACGGATGATTAAAATGACAACTAAAAGTGTACGATTAGCACATTTTTATTGCAGATAATCGATTGCTATAATTGTACGAAGGTAAGAAGGGCCATTTTAACGTAAATGGAAGTTCTTAAAGGGAAAAACGAATAGTCGGCGAAGAAAAAGATGCACAGTTTTTTTTACGTTGACACCAGTTGTAATATTGCGTAGAAATAACTGTACCGCGGAAATCAAGAATCGATGGTTTGTCTCTCTATCTTCATTTTTACATCATACAATGAGAATCAGAATACCATGCACTGAGAATCGAATCAATTAAAGCTACTGATAACATTATTCTCTCACTTGCTCACACAAGTGTTAATCTTTGATTACTTAGACATCACGCAAGGTATGCTAACCAAGAGCATTTCTTCAGGCTCTATCTTTTATTCTATAATCAAGCCTAAATTTACAAGCAGTCTTATCAATTATTCCTGGCCAATGTATCTTATCATTTCAAAATTTTAAAGTCATAATTGAAGGAGAAAGTACAGATGACGTGGAAGAAAGAGAATAAGTTTATCACATTTGCAGAAACAAACTAATTTGCAGAAACAAACTAATTTTACATTTCTATTCCTCTTCATGTGCCAATTCACTCAATTTTAAATAAAGCAAAAAAATTCTACTAGACAGAGAGAAAATGAAAGAGATGACGTAAAAAACATAGGAACAGTGCTTGTGGCGAATATGAGGTTATGTATACTGTAGCTGGGAGAACTACAGTCAACTACTTTATGTCCGTTTAATTCGTTTCCAAATACGAGATAAGATTCGAATGATGATTTTTGAATAATTGCCCATTCTTTCAATTCAGCAAGCGAGCTTAACAATCGTCCCGATAAATCGTGCCTTTATACCCGCTTCATACATCCATGGTGGTTGTTTTTCTTCCGGAAAGATAATCGGAATAATTTGCTTTGCTTATTTGGTCATATTTTGACCGTTGTGCATTTTATACAATCAAAATCATCAATATATACTCATTTCACTTCCAATCGTTCCGCATTCGATTTTCTTGTTGCCTTGAAAGTTACATTTTCGAAATAGAACTAATTGGAGAGAATCACAACTGAATTCATCAAAGGCACAAATTTCACTTTCCTTCAGAACCTGTCTTTTTGTAAAAAGAAAAGGTAATTCAATGTTATCAATTTTGTGCATTACAATTTCTATTTTTTACATTATGCAATTTTGTAGATTATATAAACGAATTGCCTACTCTTCCAATTCAGCCAGCGATAAAGTTGACGAAACAGATTTCCCTTTTCTCTTCATAATTAACTGTTTCTGTTCGTACTTAATTGCAGATGAATAGACCCTATGTAATTTCTGAGCAACCTTATCCTGAATTTTATGGCTTATCGTTTTTTTGATAATCAAGCTAATTATTTTAAGCCTTAAATGAATTTTCACGTTGTTCATTAAGCATTTTGTAAAATATCATCTGTGAGAATTTATTCTGACAAAATGCGATGTGAGCGAGTTTCCTGCTAGCTTTACGATTAATTTTGATGAAATTTCCCTCAACAAGAATAAAACACGTGTTTTTCCAACAGTTTTTTAGACGTAAACTTTATTGTGATGATATCAGTTTCATATTATCAATAATATTTGCAGGAATTTTGGATTATTTATTATGCTGCCATTTCTTATTACTAAATATTTGATTGCTCTAGCAATAATGTAAGTTAAAATGATGCACAAATATTCTTGCTATTATCATATCAGTTATTTTGTTTATTCGTCTGTTAATATTTTTCTGCTTTTTCAGGGCAAAATTATCAGTTGCCCAAATAAATATACTGGATTTCCTTCAATTTCTTCAACCATTCGGAAATATTGCAAGCGAAGTATGTATAATACTTCATTTAACATGAAGATTATAATCACATATTGTAATAGAAATAGAATACGGATTACATTAAGCGTTAGTTCTCATTTAAGCGTCATCATTCCCAATAAGAATGTATTATAAATTTCAGCTGTTGACCAAAGCTGCTAACGGATTACTAAATAGCATATTTGGTGAGCCAGAAGGATATGAGAGTAAGCGTGAGTATCCAGACACTGCTTTGATTGGTAGAGGCTCTCCATATCCTTATTATACTTACTACAATGGATACGGAGGATATTATCCGTATACATCGATGTATTACTACGGTTACAATAACCGCTATCCATACAACTACTATTATTATTATCGTGGTTAACTTTTTTGCCGTTGTGAAGAATAAAAAATTCTGAATAATTAAAACGTTTTATCGGGTATTGTGTTCCACAGTTATTAAACGCATTGAATAAATTTCAAAAATGTCGAAATGCATAAATTATGTATTAGTTACTCAAATTATTTTAACTCAATTATGGAATACTGGATGGAATTCAATATTAATGATTCATGATCTTAATGGATAATAATTTAGATGACTTCGTGATTCTAAATTCAACGTAAGCAAGCTATTGACTTTATTATCACGTGTCAACCTCAATCATTTAACATGTTATCTTTTATTATCTTTCTCAAATCAATCATAACTAATTTTAATTTTTCTTACTCAAATTCAAAAAATGTACCAATAATCAGTCATATTATTATCGATAACAATGATAGGATGATAATTGATACTAAGAGGTGAAAAAAAGTGTCAGAACATCAAAGATTAGTTGAAGTTGTGGAATTTTTTATCACCATTTGATATTAATTATTCCTTTTATTGTTAATATTGACAATGATATAACTGATTATCGGTTTAGTAAACAGAAAACATAAATCAAAATAAATTCCACTCTTGCCAAATATCAACCATAATAACTCTCAACAAAAAATTCGGTACTATCATAAAGATCAATACTGCCATCATATTCCATTTAACACTTATTAATAATGATCCCAACCGTTGTCAAGGCCGGATTATCTTTTTTAAACCATTCAATTTTTCTGTTTATAGTGAAAAACAAATATTTTTTGGTTGAAGTGATGGGAAAAAAAATTTCACAATTGCTTGTTAATTTTATTGCTGCACTCAATTCATTTTCTAAATAATCACTTAATTTAAACCTAAAATATTTGTTTGAGTAATTTTTATAAAAATCAGTTCGATAGAAGATATTGTTTCTCAACTCTTCCTATATGTAATAATCAGCCCTAAATTAACAAGCAGTCTTATCAATTATTCCTGGCCAAAGTATCTTACCCATTTTAAAATTTTATTCACTATTTAAAGCAATAATTAAAGGAAAAAGTACAGATGACACAGAAGAAAACAAATAGGTTTATCATAGTTGAATTTTTTTCCAAAAATGGTCAAACCAACAGTTCCCCTCCATTTCTTTATTTTTTCGTTCACATCAAATGTGCGCTGTCATTGGAAAAATTTAAGCTAAACAAGTGGGACATTTACCGCGATACACAATTCATCAAAATAATTATTTGAGTAGCATTTATTCTGCGACCGTTTATGTCGTCCATCCGTCTGTTCCACTTATCTCCTTCCGAAATGCAATAGTTCGGCTTCATGGTTTTAAGAATCCGTTTAATTCGTCTCCAAATACGAGATAAGAATCAAATGATAATTTTTGAATATACATTTTGTTAGTTGGATTTTGAAGCTAATTGACTTCAAATATCTTGCTGTTTCATCACATGCCGTTGTGGAAACTTTTTTCGGAACAAAACTGTCATTTTACTTAGGCCTATTGAATTCTTGAAATTATACACTAAGGCCTGTTGAATTCTTGAAACACAACAGTCTCCAGAAACAAAGCAATTTTACATTTCCATCCCTCTTCATGTGCCAATTCGTTCAATTTTGAAAAAGCGAAAAAATTTAATTAGACAAAGAGAAAAATAAAAGAGATGATGGAAAGAACATAGGAACAATGCTTGTAGCGAATGCGAGGATATTTGCATATGGTAGCAGAGGCTGCTACATTCAACTAGCATAACAATCGTCCCGTGCCATTATACCCTTTTCATACATGCACGGCGATTTGTTTGTTTTCCGGAAATATAATCGGTATAATTTCCTTTGCTCATTTGGTCGTATTTTTATCTTCGTGCATTTCATGCAACCAAAATTATTAATATATACTCATCGTAATTTCACTTCCAATTGTTTCGTATTCAATTTTCTTGTTGTCTAGAAAGTATCATTTCCGAAATAGAATTGATAAGAGAGAATCACAATTGAATGCGTCAAAGCACAAATTTCACTTTTCTTCAGAACCTGCTTTTTGTAAAAAGAAATGGAAGTACAATGCTATCAATTTTGCACATTATGCAATTTTGTAGATTATATAAACGAATGGGCCCCTCTCTTCCAATTCAGCCAGCGATAAAATTGACGAAATAGATTTCTCCTATTAATTAACTGTTTTTGTTGGTACTTAATTGGGGATAATTAGTAGATTTTACGTAACTTCTGAGCAACCTTTCCTAAATTTTGTGGCTTATCAATTTTTTTGACAGTCAATTAATTATTTTGACAAATTTGAACCTTAAATGAATTTCACGTTGTCCATTGAGCATTTATAAGATATCACCTTCTATGATAATTAATTAGAGGAAGATGCGATGAGAATAAGTATCTTGCTAACTTTATGATTAATTCTGAATGAATTTCTCTAAGTAAAATAAAGCAAACATTTTCTAACACATTTGTAGACGTGAACATAATTGTAATAATGTCAGTTGCATATTATCAAACATACTTGCAGGAATTTTTGGCTATTCATTATGCTGTCATTCCTTATCACTAAATATTTCATTACTCTAACAATAGCGTAAGTTGAAATGATAAACAAATATTTTGATGTTATCACATCAGTTATTTAGTTCATTTCTTGTTAATATTTTTCTACATTTTCAGAATATTACTATCAATTGCTGAAACAAATGGAGAGTGGCGTGTTGATATAGCTTCATTCAACAACATCGCAGGCTCCGGTGTAGGTTTTATACTTCTTATGGGTTTCATTTTCTTGTAATATTGTTTTAAATTTCACTTCCTTATAAGATAATGCTTCATGGTCGCATACTATGGATTTCTTACTGTCGTACAACTATAGTGTTTGGTGTATAATATATTTTAAAATTGATTGTTAGCAACTTTATTGAAAGCTTATTTTAAATTTCAGTCGTTGAACGATTTTGCAGCCCGAGAAGCTGCTCGAGGAGCTGCTGCTCAACAAGGAGCTGCTGCTCAAAATCCTGCGCCTGCTCAAACAACGTCGGATCCTCTTGGTTCATTATCTTCTGCACTTCTTTTGAGTTTGCTTGCAAGCAGATTGACTGGTGGAGGCTCCCCATATCCTCAATATCAATATCCTTACTACGGTGGATACGGAGGATATTATCCATATACACCGTATTATTACTACTACTATGGTCGCTATCCATACTACTACTATTATTATGGTTAACTATTGTGCCGTTGTGAAGATTAAAAATTTTGGTTAACTAAAACAAAGCTTTTTTTAAGTGTTGTATTCCATAGTTATCAAATACATGATGCACTGAATAAATTTCAAAAATATGTCGAAATGCATAAGTTATTGCCACGAAAGCCTCCCGCAACCCTAACATAATTTGCATGCATTAATTAATTAATAATTTATAGAATAAAAAGAAAGGTAAAATGAATGGATATATTAGTAATTGATTATATTAGCGATGAAACGAACAAATATATTAGCAGTTGACTAATTCCTATATTAGCTGTCTTAATGGTTGAAATATTCTGATTAAACAACAGAATTTTTTTTAAATTTGTATGCTTATGCTGCTTCTAAAGCTATTTTATGAAATGACTCATAAAATCGATACCTGTAGAACAATGCATTTTCATTTGCAAGACTTCGAAACTGTGTCCCAATAACGAATGCAGCCATTACTGTTTATATTCCATTTCGCATAGCTTGTTATATTCATGTTAATGCTCGTCATTCCATTTTCTTGAATTTAAACTGATTTAATTGATAGTTAATCAATAAGTGATAAAAAAGATCATTGGATGGACAGTCGGAGAAATCTACTGATTATGCTTGACTACATAAAAATTAATTTTGTGCTTATCCAATTATTCAAATTATTCTAGCTCAATTATGAAATGCTGAATTGAATTTAGTTGAACTCATATCAACCTTGGGCAGATTTAATTTAGGTAATTTCGTGACTCCAATTTCAACCTAAACAAATTATTGATTTTACCATATGCCAACCTCAATTATTTAACGTTGCTTTCTTTTATTTTCTTTCTCAAATTAAAGAATTCATAATTATTTTTAATTTTCCTTACTCAAATTCAATAAAAATATTCCAATAATCAGTCATTCTTGCCAAATATGAACCATAATAACTATTAACCAAAAAATTTGATACTATAACTCATAAAGATTAAAATTGCCATCATATTCCTTTCAACACTTGTCAATAGTGCTCTCAATCACTGCCAATAAGTTGTCAAGATCGGATTTTTCTTTTTAATTTCAATGACAATAAAAGAATTTTCAGTTGTTCATTTCGCGTTAGCAAATTAAAGGAGATAAATGTTAAATTTGATAGCAAACTTTAACCATTAAAGCTTTCTCCGTAAAGTGAGAACGAAATATATTTTGGTTGAAGTGATGGGAAAAAAAATTTCACAATTGCTTGTTAATTTTATTGCTGCACTCAATTCATTTTCTAAATAATCACTTAATTTAAACCTAAAATATTTGTTTGAGTAATTTTTATTAAAATCAGTTCGGTAGAATTCGGTATTTTTTTGACCATCATAAAATGAATTTATTCGAAATGTATTCCACAATATTCAAAAATCTTCATAACTTTTCTCTACGATTTTATAATTAACATTTTGAACACTTTCTCATTGAATCTAAAATATTCTGAAGTACTAACTCTATAATATTAGTCATCTGATGCCTTCTATCGAAAACCGGAATAACTTCACAATACAGGACATATTTAAGTAATCCTTATGCTATGTTAGAGAAATTCTTTCCTTCAATATTCTCAATGAAATGATTTAATTATATTAATTTATTATTTTAAGGAATCCATAACATCAATTGACTCTTTTTTACCAACGGTTCAAACAATTCTTTGTCTACCATTTCTTTTATTTTCCATCTGTCCACTACATACACGATGCCAGGGGGAATTCCTTGCTTACCATCAATTTCATGTACAAAATGAATAATTTTCTACACCGGCCCGCTCGAAACGAGCGCATCTCGGTGTAACTTACTCTGAAATGAAGCTCTCCAACCACTTACACTTTTCTGAAATATTAAATATAACACTCCCAAATTATCCTTCTGAATCAACCAGTAAAGAGGAATAATCATAACTGAGTTCGTCAAAAACACAAATTTCACTTTCCTTCAGAACTTGCTTTTTTGTAAAAAGAAAAGGAAGTGCAATGTCATCAATGTCATACATTACAATTTCAATTTTGTAGATTATATAAACGAATTGTCGCCCTCTTCCAATTCAGCCAGCGATATATAATTGACGGTACAGATTTCTCTCCATTATTAATTATTTTCGTTAGTACTTAATGAAGAACGAATAATAGACTCTATGTATCTTCTGATCAACTTCATCCTGAATTTTATATCTTATCATTTTTCTGATAATCAAGCTAACTATTTTAAGCCTTAAATGAATTTTACGTTGTTCATTAAGCATTTGTAAAATAAATATCATCATCTGTAGAAATTTAAATGCGATGTGAGCAAGTTTCCTGCTAGCCTTGCGATTATTTCTGATGAAATTTCCCTCAACAAAAATAAAACAAATGTTTTTCTAACAGTTTTTTAGACGTGAACATTGCTGTAATAATATCAATTCTATATTATCAATAATATTTGCAGGAATTTCGGACTATTTATTATGCTGCCATTTCTTGTCATGAAATAATTGATTGCTCTAACAATAGTGTAAGTTAAAATGATGAACAAGTACTTTTGCTGTTATGACATTAGTGATTTTATTTACTTATCTCTTCATAATTTTCTGCTTTTTCAGCGCAAAATCATCAATTGCTCAAGAAAATAGAGTTTCTTTAACCATTCCGAAATATTGCAAGCGAAGTATGTATCATACTTCATTTAACGTGAAGCTTTATATCGCACATTGCAACAGAAATAGAATATGCGATTCACTAAGCATTAGTTCTCATTTAAGCGTCATCATTTCCAATAAATTATAAGTTTCGATGGTTGACCTATATATTTTGAAAATATCTTGAAAAGCTATGTTATCATCTTGCGAATGTCGCAAGTCATACGCAATTTCATTGTATGTTAAAGTGGTGAACAAATATTATTACTGTTATCATATCAGTTATTTAGTTTATTTACTAGTTAATGTTTCTCTGCGTTATCAAAACAAAATCATCAATTGCTCAAACAAATGAACAAAATTTCCTTGGACTCAGTCGTTCATTCATAATGCAATCGATAACGTACGTATCATTGCTCGTTTAATGCAGTGTTTAATATCTATTCCTCTTCATCTGCCAGTTCACTCAATTAGAAAAGTGAAAGAGATGACGGAGAGAAAATAAGAACAATACTGAAGTGAATACGAGGTTGGGAGTGCACCATAATCACCTAGCTTAACAATCGTCCAATAATTGGTAGACTTTACGTGACTTCTGAGCAACCTTGTCCTGAATTTTATGGCTAATCATTTTTTGACAGTCAATTAATTATTTTTGACAAATTTAAGCCTTAAATGAATTTCCCGCTGTTCATTAAGCATTTCTAAAATAATTATCATCTTCTGTAAAAATTCTATGGCAAAATTACGATCGTTTATGTCCGTCCATCCATCCGCTCTACTTATTTTTTTCAAAAATACAAAAGTTCGACTTCATGTCCGTTCAATTCGTCTCCAAATACGAGATAAGAATCGAATGATAATTTTTGAATAATTGCCTTTTCTTTCAATTCAGCAAACGAGCTTAACAATCGTCCCGATAAGCGTGCCATCGTACTCGTTTCATACAACCATGGTGGTTGTTTGTTTTCCAGAAATATAATCGGAATAATTTGCTTTACTTACTTGGTCATGCTTTATATATTTTGTTAGTTGAATTTTGAAGCTAATTGACTTCAAACACTTTGCTGCTTTATCACATGTCGTTGTCACAATGTTTTTTCGAAACGAAATCGTTACTTTTGTTTACAAAACCGCCATGTTGCTTAGCCCTGTTGAATTCTTGAACACAACAATTTCTCCAGAAACAAAGCAATTAATTACATAAAGAGAAGAGAAATGGATGAAATGTGACATAGCGATGAATAAAAGAGGAACAATTCTTCAAGTTATACATACGGTAACATGCTATAAGATTACAGTCAATTGGTATGTTATCATCTTATTAATCATGCGCAATTTCATTGTATGCTTCCGTGCCTATCAGTTGCAGATAATTGATGCTTTATTTGAAGGAAGGTGAGAAGAGCCATCCTAAGGTAAATGAAAGTTCTTAAAGGGGAAAACGAATAGTCGACAAAGGGAAAGGTGCACAATTTTTTTTACGTTGACACCAGTTGTAATATTACGTAGAAATAACCGTACTGCGGATATCAGGAATCGATGGTTTGCCTCTCTATCTTCATTTTTACACCATACAATGAGTCTTATCAATTATTCCTAAATAATGTATCTTACCATTTCAAAATTTTTACCCACTATTTAAAGCAATAATAAAAGGAAAAGTACCGATGACATGGAGGAAAACAAATAATTTTATCATAGTTGAATTTTTCCCTAAAAAATGGTCGAACCAACAGTTCTCCTCCATCTCTCTATTATTTCATTCATATCAAATGTGCACTGTCATTGGGAAAATTTAAGCTAAACAACTGTAACATTTACCGCGATATACAATTCATCAAAATAATTGAGTAACATATTCGGCGACCGTTTATGTCCGTTCATCCGTCCGTTCTATTTATCTCTTTCCGAAATGCAACAGTCCGTTTAATTCTTCTCCAAATACGAGATAATAATCGAATGATAATTTTGAATATACTTGTTACTTGTTAGTTGGATTTTCAAGGTATTGACATCAAATAATTTGCTGTTTCATCATTTCATCGCATGTCGTCAATTCAATTAGACAAAGAGGAAGATGAAATGGCGCAGTGAACATAGGAACAATGCTTGTAACGAACAGGAGTTTACGCATATTGTAGCGATGGATATTATAGTCAACTAACTTAACAATTGTCTTGATAAGCATGCCGCTGTATTCACTTCATACATCCATTATTGTTGTTCGTTTTCCGAAAATATAATCGGAATAATTTGCTTTACTTACTTGGTCATGTTTTGATTTCATACATCAAAATTATCAAAATATACTCATAGAACTAGTCATACTTGCAATTGTTTCGCAATCGATTTTCTTGTTGTCTTGAAAGTATCATTTCCGAAGTAGAACTGATAAGCGAGAATCGCAACTGAATTCGTCAAACTTTCCTTCAGAACCTGCCTTTTCGTAAAAAGAGAAAGAAATGCTATGTTTTCATTTGTACATCACAATTTCGATTTTTCATATTGTGCAATTTTATAGATAATATAAACGTATTGTCTACTTTTCCAATTCTACCAGCAATAAAAAACTTGACGATAGAGATTTCTTTTCATAACTAACTGTTTTTGTTGGTACTTAATTGCGGATGAATGATAGGCTCTATGAAATTTCTGGGCAAGTTTGTCCTGAATTTTGTAGCCAATTATTTTTTAATAATTAAACTAATTATTTTTGACAAATTTGAGCATTGAATTAATTTACGTTGTTCATTGAGCATTTGTGAAATATCTCTATGATAATTTATTAAGACGCGATGAGAACAAGTTTTTTGCTAAATTTACGGTTGATGTCCTTAGTAAGAATGAAGCGAACAGTTTTCTAACAGTTTTGTGGACGTGAATTTTATTGTAATGATGTCAATTACATATTACAGGCATATTTGCAGGAGTTTCGGATTGTTTACTATGCTGCTATTCCTTGTCATTAAATATTTCATTGCTCTAATAGCAGTGTAAGTTAAAATGATGAACAAATATTTTTGATGTTATCACATTAGTTATTTTGTTTACTTACCTGTTAATGCTTTTCTACTTTTTCAGAATATTATTATCAATTGCTGAAACAAATGCACAGTGGGATTTTAATATATTTTCTTACAACAATTGGGCAGGCGCCCGTGTGAGTTTCATATTTTCTATAGGTTTCAATTTCTTGTAAGCTTCTTATAAATTTCATTTATCTTACACGGTAATGAATGCTTAATGTGTCGCATACTGTGGTTTTCTTACTGTCGTACAACTACAGTTTATGGTGCATTATATATTTTAAAATTAATTGTTATTAATTACAATGAAAGCTTATTTTAATTTCAGTCGTTGAACAATAATCCAGTGCTTGATGATCGAGCTCCACCACCACCTGCAGCACAAGCAGCTCCAGCACCAGCTCAAAGAGCACCGGATCCTCTTGGTTCATTACCTTCTGCACTTCTTTTGACTTTGCTTGCAAGCAGATTGACTGATGGAGGTTCCCCATATCCTCAATATCCTTACTACAGTGGATACGGTGGATATTATCCGTATTATTATTACTATGGTCACTACCCATACTACTACTACTATTATTATGGTTAACTATTGTGCCGTTGCGTCGTTATGCTTCCAAAATGTATTGCATGAAATGCTTCATAAAATCGATACCTGTAGACCAATGCATTTTGATTGTGAAATAAGACTTCGAAACTATATCCCAGTTATAGATTCATATACCATTTGCATAATTTGTTGATGTTCATGTTAATGTTCGTCGCTCTACTTTCCCTAATTAAAATTGACTTAATTGATAGTTAATAAATAAGTGATAAAAAAGATAATTAATCAATAAATGATTAAAAAGATCATTAGAGGGAGAGTTGGAAGAATCTCCTGATTGTGTTTAATGCATAAAAATCAATTTCGTGTTTATATCAATTATTGAAATCATGTCAGCTCAATTATGGGATACTAATTGAATTGAGCTGAATTGTTCAAATTTGTTTATCATATCGTAGAATTTATGACTAATGAATCAAAATGGATCATATCAACCTTGGGCAGGTTTAATTTAGGTAATTGCGTGATTCTAATTTCAACCTAAACAAATTATTGATTTTACCATATGCCAACCTCAATTATTTAACATTGTTATCTTTTATTTTCTTTCTCAAATTTAAGAATTCATAATTATTTTTAATTTTCCTTGCTCAAATTCGAAAAAATGTTCCAATAATCAGTTATATTATTGTTAATAACAGTAGTAATAAGATAATAATTGGTACTAAGAGGTGATAAAAGAATGCCGGCACTTTAAAAAATAGTCGAAGTTTTGAAATTTTTTATCACAATTCAATATCAATCATTGTTATCTTTTTACCGCAGTTATTATAAATAATATAAGTGAATTTCAATTTAGTACAGAAAACAGAAATCAAAACAAATTCCATTCTTGCCAAATATCAACGATGATGGCTACTGACCAAGAAATTCGGTACTAAAACTCATAAAGACTAAAACTGCCGTCATTCGATACATACAGCAATCCATGCGATGCCCTATAGTGTATCAATGGATAGTAAGCTGCAAATTTCCTCAATATTAAATGAATGAATATTTATATGACTCAAATGTTGCAATATATCTTATCTTTTTTAAAAAGTATTTTTACAGCTTATACTTCTTACTTCAATAATACATATCATTGGGATAGAATAAAAACAAAAGCTTAATGACTGCATAGAAGTATGCTTACTTGTATGATCTTTATTAGGTCACCATCCAAGTGTACAATTTTCACACAAACGTAATGTATTGTTTATAATTTGATGTGCCAAACAATCTTCACAAATCCAACAACAAGCCGCTGTTTCTCTTTGCTATAAATCACCAAATTGAAGAATTATTTTCACAGTTATTTGGAGTTACTGAAGTAATCAATAATTGCTGTATCCCGAGACTGCATAATCTATCTTCCAAAATAATTATACGTTAATTTTTAAAACTTCATTATATAGATATTGAAAAAAAATAGGAACAATACTAAAGTGAATACGAGGTTGGGAGTGCACCATAATCACCTAGCTTAACAATCGTCCAATAATTGGTAGACTTACGTGACTTCTGAGCAACCTCGTCCTGAATTTTTGGCTTATCATTTTTATGACAGTCAATTAATTATATTTGACAAATTTAAGCCTTAAATGAATGTTATTTAAAGCAACAGTTCTGCTCCATCTCTTCATTTCTTCTTTCACATCAAAGTGCGCTGTCGTTGGGAAAATTTAAGCGAAACAACTGAAACACTTTTTGCGATATATCAGTACATCTCAGTAATTATTTGGATAACATATATTCTGCGATTGTTTATGCCTGTCCATCCGTCCGTTCTACTTTTTCTTTTCGAAATGCAAAAATTCGGCTGCCCATTTATTTCGTCTCCAAATACGAGATAAGAATCGAATGATAATTTTTGAATATATATTTTGTTAGTTGAATTTTGAAGCTAATTGACTTCAAACACTTTGCTGCTTTATCACATGTCGTTGTCACAATGTTTTTTCGAAACGAAATCGTTACTTTTGTTTACAAAACCGCCATGTTGCTTAGCCCTGTTGAATTCTTGAACACAACAATTTCTCCAGAAACAAAGCAATTAATTACATAAAGAGAAGAGAAATGGATGAAATGTGACATAGCGATGAATAAAAGAGGAACAATTCTTCAAGTTATACATACGGTAACATGCTATAAGATTACAGTCAATTGGTATGTTATCATCTTATTAATCATATGCAACTTCATTGTATGCTTGTTGTGCCCATCAGTAACTTATGGATCAGTAATTTGTAGAATGAAAAGAAAGAAGGAAAAATGAGTGATTATATTAATTCTGATGGTAATTATTTGTTGAATGTAATAAAATCAAGGTTTTCATAAAATATTTTTTACGACCAGGTTTTTATTACAGAATAACTCAATGAAGTGTACCAATAAATCTAAATTCATAAAACAGCGAATATTAATTACAAAATAAGACTTTGAAATTGCGTGTCAATTACATGTGATGTCATGGTCGATACTTCATGAAGTACTTACATGCAGTTATTTCCGGATTCTAATTGCACGAATTGTTGATGTTCATTCCGTAAAAGTACCATTTTCTCTAATTAAATTAATTTGATTAGAGAAAAAAGGATGATTGAAATGACAATTAAACGTGTACGATTAGCATATTTTTATTGCAGATAATCGATTGCTATAATTGTTGGAAGCTGAAAAGGACCATCTTAAGGTAAATGAAAGTTCTTAAAGAGAAAAACGAATAATCGGCGAAGGAAAAGGTGCACAATTTTTTTTACGTTGACACCAGTTGTAATATTACGTAGAAATAACCGTACTGCGGAAATCAGGAATCGATGGTTTACCTCTCTATCTTCATTTTTACACCATACAATGAGTCTTATCAATTATTCCTAAATAATGTATCTTACCATTTCAAAATTTTTATCCACTATTTAAAGCAATAATAAAAGGAAAAGTACCGATGACATGGAGGAAAACAAATAATTTTATCATAGTTGAATTTTTCCCTAAAAAATGGTCGAACCAACAGTTCTCCTCAATTTCTTCTTTCACGTCAAATGTGTGCTGTCATTGGGAAAATTTAAGCTAAACAACTGTAACATTTTCCGTGCTACACAATTCATCATAACAATTATTTGAGTAGCATATATTCTGCGATCGTTTATGTCCGTCCATCCGTCCCTTCTACTAAACTCTTTCCGAAATGCGACAGTCCGTTTAATTCGTCTCCAAATACGAGATAAGAATCGAATGATAATTTTTGAATATACATTTTGTTAGTAGGATTTTGAAGCTAATAGACTTTAAATATTTTGCTGTTTCATCATTTTATCACATGTCGTCAATTCAAAAGAGATGACGTGGAGAACATAGGAACAATACTTGTAATGAGTAGCAGTTTGTGCACATTGTAGCAAAGGGTATTATAGTCAACCAACTTAACAGTCTTCCTGATAAGTGTGCCATTGTATCCATTTCATACACCCATGGTTGCTGTTTGTTTTCCGGAAATATAATCGGAATAATTTCCTTTACTTACTTGGTCATGTTTTGATCATGGTGCATTTCATACATCAAAATTATCAATATATACTCATAGAATTAGTCACGTAGCAATTTCACTTCCAATTGTTTCGCAATCGATTTCTTGTTCTCTTGAAAGTACCATTTGCGAAGTAGAACTGATAAGAGGAATCATAACTGAATTCGTCAAAGGCACAAATTTCACTTTCCTTCAGAACCTGTCTTTTTGTAAAAAGAAAAGGTAATTCAATGTTATCAATTTTGTACATTACAATTTCTATTTTTTACATTATGCAATTTTGTAGATTATATAAACGAATTGCCTACTCTTCCAATTCAGCCAGCGATAAAGTTGACGAAACAGATTTCCCTTTTCTCTTCATAATTAACTGTTTCTGTTCGTACTTAATTGCAGATGAATAGACCCTATGTAATTTCTGAGCAACCTTATCCTGAATTTTATGGCTTATCGTTTTTTTGATAATCAAGCTAATTATTTTTGACAAATTTAAGCATTGAATTAATTCACGCCGTTCATTGAGCATTTGTTAGAAGATAATTTATTAAAATAAATTGTGATAAGAACAAGTTTCCTGTTAACTTTACGGTGAATTTTAAATGAATGTCCCTCAGTAAGAATGAAGCGAACAGTTTTCTAACAGTTTTGTGGACGTGAATTTTATTGTAATGATGTCAATTACATATTACAGGCATATTTGCAGGAGTTTCGGATTGTTTATTATGCTGCTATTCCTTGTCATTAAATATTTCATTGCTCTAATAGCAGTGTAAGTTAAAATGATGAACAAATATTTTGATGTTATCACATTAGTTATTTTGTTTACTTACCTGTTAATGCTTTTCTACTTTTTCAGAATATTATTATCAATTGCTGAAACAAATGCACAGTGGGATCTTAATATATTTTCATACAACAATTGGGCAGGCGCCCAAGTGAGTTTCGTACTTTCTATAGGTTTTGTGTTTCCTATAAACTTCATACTTCTTGCATGCTTCCTATAAATTTCATTCTGTCTTACAGAATAATGAATACTTAATGTATCGCATATTGTGGTTTTTTTACAGTCGTACCACTACAGTATTTGACGCACTATATATTTTAAAATTAATTGCTATTAATTTTAATAAAAGCTTATTTTAAATTTCAGTCGTTGAACAATAATCCAGCGCCTAATGCACCACCACCACCACCACCTGCAGCACAAGCAGCACCAGCACCAGCTCAAACAACATCGAATCCTTTTGGTGCATTACCTTCTGTACTTCTTTTGACTTTGCTTGCAAGCAGATTGACTGGTAGAGGCTCACCATATCCTCAATATCCTTACTACAGTGGATACGGAGGATATTATCCATATACACCGTATTATTACTCTTACTATGGTCGTTATCCATACTACTACTATTATTATGGTTAACTATTGTGCCGTTTGCGTCGTTATGCTTCCAAAATGTATTGCATGAAATGCTTCATAAAATCGATACCTGTAGACCAATGCATTTTAATTGTGAAATAAGTCTTCGAAACTGTGCCTCAATTACAGATTCATATTCCATTGGCATTATTTGTTGATGTTCATGTTAATGTTCGGTGTTCCACTTCTCTAATTTAAAATGACTTGATTGATAATTAATCAACAAATGATAGTAAAGATCATTAGGGGGAGAGTTGGAAGAATCTCCTGATTGTGTTTAATTGCATAAAAATCAATTTTGTGTTTATAACAATTATTAAAATTATTTCAGCTCAATTATGGAATACTAATTGAATTGAGCTGAATTGTTCAAATTTGTTTATCATATCGTAGAATTTATGACTAATGAATCAAAATGGATCATATCAACCTTGGGCAGGTTTAATTTAGGTAATTGCGTGATTCTAATTTCAACCTAAACAAATTATTGATTTTACCATATACCAACCTCAATTATTTAACATTGTTATCTTTTATTTTCTTTCTCAAATTTAAGAATTCATAACTATTTTTAATTTTCCTTGCTCAAATTCGAAAAAATGTTCCAATAATCAGTTATATTATTGTTAATAACAGTAGTAATAAGATGATAATTGGTACTAAGAGGTGATAAAAGAATGCCGGCACTTTAAAAAATAGTCGAAGTTTTGAAATTTTTTATCACAATTCAATATCAATCATTGTTATCTTTTTACCGCAGTTATTATAATTAATACAAGTGAATTTCAATTTAGTACAGAAAACAGAAATCAAAACAAATTCCATTCTTGCCAAATATCAACGATAATGACTACTGACCAAGAAATTCGGTACTAAAACTCATAAAGACTAAAACTGCCGTCATTCGACGCATACAGCAATCCATGCGTTGACCTATGTGTACTAGTGGATAGTTACAGAAATGAATCAATTAATTACCTTCCCTCATCCAATTCAGCCAGCGTGAAATCGACGAAATAGATTTCTCTTTGTAATTAGCTGTTCTTCTCAGTAATTTATTTTATTCTTAGTTGCGAATGAATAATAGACTCTGCGTTCATCTGATCAACTTTATCCTGAATTTTATGACAGCGATGAGAACAACTTCCTTGCTAACTTTACGGTTAACTCAGAATGAATTTCCCTCATTAACAATAAAGCGATAAGCTCACAATTTTCTCACAACAGTAAGCTCACAACAATAAGCTCCAATTTTCTAACAGTCTTGTGCATGTGAACTTTATTGTTCATTATATAGATATTAAATTATACGATCGTCGTCCAATTTTACAAGGTTTATTGCAAACTAATTCAGAAATTTAATTTGTTTTATCATAAAGCATAACATCCCTATACATCGTATTAAAATCAAAGGTAATATTATTAACTGATTAATTCTGATACTAATTATTTGTTGAAGATAATCGGAATAATTTGCTTTGTTTACTTTGTCATATTTTTGTCGTCGTGCATTTCAAACAATCAAAATATCAATACATATTCATAGAATTTGTCATGCAGTAAGTTCACTTCTAATCACTCCGTAATCGATTTTCTTGTTGCATTGAAAGTATCATTTCCGAAATAGAACTAATTGGAGAGAATCACAACTGAATTCGTCAAAAGCACAAATTTTGCTTTTCTTCAGAACTTGTCTTTTTGTAAAAAGAAAGGGAAGAGCAATGTCATCAATTTTGTACATTACAATTTCATTTTCTTACATTATGCAATTTTGTCGATAATATAAATGAATCGCCCCCTCTCTTCCAATTCAGCCAGCGATAAAATTGACGGGATAGATTTCTCTTAATAATTAACTGTTTTTATTAATACACAATTGCGGATGAATGGCAGACTTTATGTTCATAAGGTAATGCATAATTATCGTATACTGTAGTACAATTACAGTATTTGGTGCATTATCCTTTTAAGATTAATTATTGGCAATTCTAATAAAAGCTTATCTTAAATTTCAGTCTTTGAACGATAATGCAGCACACCTATTCCTCCAGATATAGGAGCAGTTCCAGCAGCAGCATCGCCTCAAACAACATCGATTCCTCCTGGTCCATTTATTCCGCACTTGTTTTGACTTTGCTTGCAAGCAGATTGACTGGTAGAGGCTTACCATATCCTCAATATCCTTACTACAGTGGATACGCAGGATATTATCCATATGCACCGTATTATTATTACTATGGTGGTTATCCATACTACTACTATTATTATGGTTAACTGTTGTGCCGTTGCGTAGTTATGCTTCCAAAATGTATTGCATGGAATACTTCATAAAATCATCGCCTGTAGAACATGAAAATGTAAAATGAAAATGCAGACTTCGGAAGTGTATCCCATTATAGATGCAGCCAATATGCTTCAATTTGATGGCAAACTAGCCATTAAAATTTTCTCTTTATAGTGAGGACGAAATATTATTTGGTTAAAGCGAATGCAAGACAAATTTCACAACTGCTTGTTGATTTTATCACTCAATTTATTTTCTGAGAAAAATTTTAAGATTTCAAAGAAAACAGAGAAGAGATCGAATTTACGAGGATGGAGGAAGAAAGGGAAATGAAATGAATAATCATAACGGTGTCGCATTTGTTAACTGAAGAGGTTCCATGCCATGACTCTTCAAAAGCTGAAATAGAATCTTTACATCAGTACATCAGAAATTAAATTTTATCGTTTTAATATTTTTTTAAGAAGGAAAATAACCATCGTTCGATTTATGCAAACTTTTGGATATATAAATATAGCAGAATATAGAAGTGATAGTAAAAAAAGATTGGAAGAATTAAATTCATTGAGTTAGCTACATTTCACCAATTTCTCATCCTTATTTCATTTTCATCAAACTTTTATTCATTTCTAAAATTTAGTTGCTTTAATTGTTGCTATGAATATTTATTATCATTTGCTTTATTTTCACTACAAATATATCCGTCATAAGATTATTATAATTAAGTTCCAAACTCCATTCAATTACCGAACAGGAAACAATAATCATAAATCGATGAACACAATTGCGCGTACTTCTGAAAAATTATTTCAGGTTCCAAGTGTAATAACATGTATTAACATTGCAACAAACCTGTTCAAATCTATTATCCTCATTGGATAATTGAGTGTGTGGTAGTGATGAAGTCATAGGTAATACTTGTTTTGAAACCGTATTGAAAACGGTTTGCATTGAATCTGTAATCAGGCTACCGATATTTTCATTTCTTTCCTCCTTTTTCACCAACAATAAATTTTTCACCGAGCCATGCGATCGTTCACTTTGTGAAACCTGTAGAAAATAAACAAAATTTATGATGACAAATTGGCTAAAACATGTAAGTAAAAATATGACGATAAAGTTTATGCATACCTGAATCTTTGTTTTATGTTGAAATTAGGAATGGAAAATAATTTGTTGGTTTTCAAAAAATCTTGAGAAATATAACTTCAATTTTGAACAACAGTGCATTATTATAGCTCAAGGATAACTGTGATAAAACTTTATAGTTTAATGATCTAGGACGAATAATTATTCTATACCTCATACCGTCGACAGGAATCGTTTAGTTGTTGTACTTTGTCATTTAATTCCAGTTGTTTGATATCATCTTGAGTAGTAGTAATACTGGTAGTACCAACCCCGCGACTAGTGATAGAAAATGTTCGAGCAAACTTAGGGGACATTTTATTGAATTCAGTTTGTATCGATGCATCCTGTGATGGACTTTGGCTAATATAAACTGATGGCTTACGTTTCCGATAATCATATCTTCTCTGTGATCCGGCATCACTTCTAAAGCTTTTTTAACAAATTTATGTTAATACAATTAACACATCTGACATAAATCATTTAATTATCTATGACACCAAATGAATTATATTATATAAGATGATTATAAAAAGAATAAATCGAATAACAACAAAAATACCTTGAAAAAGAATTTTGACTGGAACCGAATTTCCAATTATTTGTCTCTTTACTACTTCGTTCTGCTGTTTGTGAATTACCAAAATGACAACGTATCAATTTGGTAGTTGTATAATTTGCTCGAATATTTTTTTCCGGATGAAATATGATTATATAAAGTTTTGGAAAGAATAATAACATCAAAGCTATACTAGCTGATAAACTAAATGAAAAACTCATTGTAAGTGCTTTATTTGTTGTACCCAAATGAAGAACAATAAACGCTGACCAAACAACCAATGTACAATACCTGAAAAACAAATCCATCAGTAATTATAAATAATTATTTAAGTAATTGAAATAATAATTTTTGTTTAGTATTTTATCAAGTGATAATGATTTTAAGAAAAAAAGAAATTAATCAATAAAATATGAAAATGTTATACTGGCTTATTTAATATTCAAAAATTCTAAATGATACAGAAAATAATTCGATATTTTAGTCAAAAAACGATCATAAAGACAATCAATATCAAACGATAATCGAATGAGTGGATAAACAAATGGTAAATGATAATTACAGTATTGTTTTGATGATTTGAAACTTAACAAATATATTAATGATATTTTGTTTGTTTTATTCTTCTTTTTTTCTTCTTTTATAAATTAACTTACATAGTAAAACCGATAAATTTTGCTTCATTAAAATTTTCCGGCAGATTTCTTGTTTTAATTGCATACAATGTACAAAGTGATATCAGGAAAAGATTCCAGAAAAATGGTGTCAAAAAGGCAAATGTTGTAGTTGAGCAGACGAGTACCATACGTCGAGGTTGATAGTATGGATCAAAACCAGCCTGTGGCATTTCACTCATTACACTACCAGCAACAATAATACATTCGATACATACAGCAATCCATGTAATGATTACCTGAAACAATAACATTATTACGGTGTCCTTTCTTTAACCATCAATTAATACTGTTGATTGTTAGCAATTTATTAAAAAATTTGGAATAATTATTGGAAAGATAATTTCTTACTTGTGATGTAATACTTAGGAAGCGTGGTTTTTTCGTTAAGATACGTTTCTTACTGCCAGCTAAAATACGCGCAATACGATTTGTTTTAGTGAGAAGTGCGGAATAAATCATTGAAAAAGCAACGGGCGGCAGTGTACGTGATATAAAACAGGTGATAAATGATGGTGTCGCAAGTACAGCAAATGATACTGCATAGCAAATAGTAATACCTGAATATAGATAGTAAATAAAATATTTAGAGAGGATTATAATAAAATAAAACCACTAAATAGTAAGTAGAATTTTAGAATAGTAAAAATTTAATTTTGCTAATTGAAAGAGATTCTCACATTTATAACTGAATAACTGAATAGTAAAAGACAAAAAAGAAGTTCGAAAATAGTAATGATATATTATGCTGAAAATGAAGGATATACTTAATCTATTACATCGATAAATTGATATTTCATGTTATTAAATACTAACCACTAAGAATTATATAGGATAATTCTCTGGTTGTTGATTTTACAACAGGGGTATGGTTATAACGAATGAATATTAATACAGTGAATAATGTCATTAATGTCCCCAAGGATGCAAGCAACAAAGCCAGGATGATACCTGTTGATGACCAATCTGGTCCTTCATGTACTAACGGATAGCAGGCTGCAAATTTCCTCAATATTAAATGAATCAATGATATGACTCAAATGATGCAATATATCTTGTCTTTTTTTAAGTGAATTTTTATAGCTTATAATTCTTACTTCAGTAATACATATCATTGGGATAGAATAAAAACAAAAGCTTGATGACTGCATAGAAGCATGTTTACCTGTATGATCTTTATTAGGCCACCATCCAAGTGTACAATTTTCACACAAACGTAATGTATTGTTTATAATTTGATGTGCCAAACAATCTTCACAAATCCAACAACAAGCCGCTGTTTCTCTTTGCTATAAATCATCAAATTGAAAAATTATTTTCATAATTATTTCCAGTAACTGAAGTAATCAATAATTGCAGTATCCCGAGACTGCATAATTTATCTCCCAAAAATAATTACACGTGAGAAATATTACATGTTAATTTTTAGAACTTCATTATATGGACATTAAATTATACGACTAAACTCACTCGTTGTCCAATTTTACAAGGTTTACTGCAGACCGATTCAGGAATTTGATTTGTTTTATCATAAAACATAATATCACTCTCCATAATTTTTAATCGATATTTGCCAAGACGCTTTTTCTGATATTCACCAACCATACGAAAGCCTTCCTCACCACCAACATAGTTCAAAACATCATACCTTAAGTTTAAAATAAGTTCTATCTATTCATCATTTTTTCAAAATATTGTAATAATTTGTTAGTTTTTGATTAATTAATCTCTATTTCTAGTAGCATTGATCAGATCAAAGATATGTTTCAAAAGAAAAAAAAGACATTTATTTCATGGAAATAAGTTCATCCATAACGATGATCATTAATAGTATACCAAATTATGTGATATAATTTCATTAATATTTGCATGATATTAGTGATCATCGATATGAATAATGTAATAAATTAAATTTATAATTGTAATAATAAGCATACCATGCAGGTGGATCACCGTTAGCATCAAAATAAACTTCCTGATTGAATTGATCAACAAATGTAACATTGAGCATATATTTGAGAAGTACTGTACCATTTAATGCAAATATTTTAGTACACATTGATGAATTTCCTTTGCAGTGATCGTTGTACAATGCCTGAAGGGCTAATCCAACGACACGAATCGAATTTACAACCTGACTCAATTTGGCATCCTAAAATTTGTTACATTTTAGAGTATGTGGAAATTTCTACATCCGCTGATAATAAATTTAATTTTATCAAATAACCGCAGTTATAAAAAAAGAAAAAAAAGGAAAATCTTAATTTTCATTTTTGTACATATTTACCTGTTTATAATTTATTGTAAGGTTCTCTCGTCCAGTACAAACTTTTGTTTCGAAATCATCTTTAGGTACCGTAAATTGACAATTAAATTTCTCCTGCCAAAATTCTCGAAACCATGGATTGAGCACATTATTTTCGGGATTCAGTGAGAAATAATGCTGATCGAACCATTTTACGTGTGGTGAATGTATCCTGAAAAACGTGAAATGATTTTAGTATGAGGTGATGCATGTAATATTGACACGTGAAAGATTTAAAGTTACATAGAAAGAAATCTTTTACACTTTCGCGATTAACATAAAATCGTTCATAAAAAATGTATTTTATATCGTTTATCACCTAATAGAGAAACTTCCGGCAGCTTCATGTTCTACGCCATCGACTACGTCTAATCGATCATTCCAACCATCACTACAAATCCATTGAAATGGTCGTATTTTTGGATTTCTTCTTCGAAGACGCTGTTGTGCTTTAAACATTCCATGCATAGTAAGGCCTTCACAAAAACATACCACTACTTGCGGTACTGATTTTTGATTACTGTAAAATAGTACCATAATGAAAGATTTTCAATTTTAACAATTTGTGCATGACAGGAAATAAATTGATTAATATTATATTTCATTTCATTCATTGGTAAATTATAATTTGATTAATATGAAAACTATTATAATTTCATTATTTTCCATTTTCTACCTTAAAGAATTTAAAATTTTGTCAAATTCAGCTGGTTCAGCCAGGCTTTTCACTTTTTCCGAATATGCAATGCAAACATTTCCTGATAGATCGCTATTGATTATTCGATCTAACTCTTCGAATCCTTTCTCACCATAGTTTCCTGTGATTTGAGAAATTTTCACGACTTTTTTCATATGACTTAAATACAATAACTATAAGAAATTTCTTATAGTTATTATAATCAAAAATTTTTTAAAGATTGAAAATTTAGAATCTATGAGCTTCAACGAATTTTCATTGGATTAGAATGTTATGCTATCAATTATGTAATATTTTTTATCCAAAGAGCGGTATAATTTAATCGTATAGGACATATAGATACTATGGTCATTACAACTTCTATTTCATAATAAACGAAAATAAGTAATGTTTTAAATTTGATTAATTAATAATTAAATTCAGCTTCTAAGCATGTTGTGTATGGTACGATAAACAAACCAGAGGAATAAATCACGGCAACATAAGTCCAGTTGAAGTGTTCCAGCATGGCAACAACCAATTTCGCTTGCCACGTATCCGCTGGTACCACACGCATAAAGTAACCATATTGTTCTTTGTCTGAAAGATCAGCCGTTGTCGCACCATATCCTGAATACTTGAAAATGAGGAGAAAAAAATTCTTCTAATAAAAGAGTAAATATTTTTAAAAAGAAGAATGGTTTGTTAAAAAAATTTCAAATTCAAATTGTTGAAAATTAAATTCAAACAAGAAGATTTCATGCTAAAATATACCGATTTGAGGTATATGAAATACTTGCAGTAAATTTTGTACTGCAATTGTAGTAGAACTCTTTGCAGGTCCTATAATTGCCACAACTGGCGCTATTTCTTTCTGGCAATCTGGCGCTGATGGCGCTGATGTACATGAACATTGATTAACGCCTTCTCGCAGAAATGCAATGGATTGCTCCATGGCAATACGATCTGTCCAACAGGAATCCCTAAAATTCTATAATTTTTAGCTTTGCTTAATCAAAAACAATTTGAAATCAAATTGTTCTCTTTGAGTGGTTTGGATTAAGTCTAATTTCAATTAGTTGAAATGAAATTACATGATTTTATATCTGCTCATCGTAAAGGAATAAAACAAGAAAGCGATGAGATATATTTCCCGAAACTTCCAAATAAGCTCATGATACTCTTTAACATCATATTTTCTGTCTAAATTGAAGCAGATCAGATCATTGTCAACTGATTAACTGATTAACTGGTTGGAATTTCAAAATAACATAAAACAAGAAAAAGATTCGGAAATGTTCGGCCTAAGAGAACTTCTCTTTCATTTTAAATAATATCAAATGAATTTTTGTTATCCATTTATAGATATGATTCAAGTTAATGGATTCGCGAATCATTCGTGTGGTACCAAATCTCAGCTATATTTTCTGATATGTTTATTTTGATAGGCTTATGATATCATTTATTAAACTGCTGTTTAGAAGAAAGTCATTGAAAATCAAAAATTCAAAAAATTGTCAAATTTGCATCAAAAGCAATTTATTATTAATTTTTTTAGTGATGCCATCACTTTTCTTTGAACTTTAACCTCATTCGTTATCAGTCATTAAATTGCCTTTTTGATTTTTAATTTTGATTTTAATCTTTTTCAAACTTTTTTGGAATTTTTGATTGAGAAAGAAATCTTTCTTTTAAATATTTGATCAGTGATATCAGAATAAAATGTATCATAATTGGAAGAAGAAATATTGTCAAATAACTATTCATTATTCCTTACAGATAATTTATGCAAGAAAAGTATTTTCACAATTTTATTTTGAATTTTAGCTTAAGAAAAATTTTTGTTTGAAATTATAATAGGATATTCTTGAACTTCTAGAAGTTTAGTCATTTTGGAGTAATCATTCTGAGCAGTTCATATTCACACTAAGACAATAAAGAAAGCAAAAGAAATGGAAATAATTGAAAAAGCTTTCATAAAAGCTCACCAATCATACGATGTCATATGCATACTTAATATCACTTCAAGATCGATTACTTGGATGATTTAAAATTTAATTAGAAGAATGAATGATACAATCTATTTTGCATAATTTCCTAAGATAATTATGGACTATGATGTAAACAACTTTAATAATATTATCTTATCTATTTGATCAATGAATCAGAATAAACTAACTTATGGGCAAAATTTTATTTGAAAAAAAGTAAAATTTTAAAATATTGTTAGCCACCATAATTCACGTACTTTGATAACTTCTGCTATCTTTTGAATTTCAAATTATAAAATATTATATTTTATATATATATAAATTATATGTTTAATTACAAAATCAAAAAAAAATTTTTTAATTTTTTAATTAGCTTTCAATTAACTTCCAAATAATAATTAACATCATTTTTACTAAATTTGCAGTATTACATCATGAAACTGAGTAAAATTTTATTTGAAAAATTGCTTAAATATCCGTTGAAAGATCTTTAACCTACCTGATACTGATACCAAGCCTGAAAGGCAACATTGAATTCAATTCGGTAACAGTACTAAGGGCAATTTCCACTCGTTGGATACCATATTGTTCCCAAATTCGACCACATGCTTCAGTACCTGTGATTTGGTAATGCAACGGGAATAGCGCACCAATCTATGAATTGTAAAGAAATTAAAAATTAGAAATTGACATTGTTATTCTGTGACACTATTATCCTACTAGCTATTATTTATTCATTCTTCTGTCTTAGAGCACATTTGCTTGTTTAACTTTTTTGAATTGCTAACTAATACTATTCCTTTAATTACCCGCAGATATCGTCTTCTCAAGTAAATCGCTCGTTGTTTCAATCATATAGTGAAGGAAGAAAGCGCTTATAAAGAAAATTGTGTATGATAAAAACTTGTAAACAATTAAAGATTTAATAATCTATTATTGAGCGATTGAAATAAACAAAAGCCTAAGTATTGGTTGAATTTAAACTAGGAAATATGTCACCGTGTCATTTTTACTATCAGAAAATATGCTATCATATAAATGGATCATTGGGATGATATGCTACGCTGCTGAATATAATGAATTGACTAAGCTATTCGTTGACTTCATCAGGTATGAGAATCTGATTCTGTCTGCTCATTCATCTCACTTCTGTTTTCAAAACTTTAACTTTATGAACTTCTGCTTCATGAATCTTGGTAATATCTCGAATGTTCTTCAAGTTTCTTTTTTAATCAAAGTTTTAGAAATTAGATTTTCGCGCCTATCAAATCAATCTGTGCCTGTTTAAAATGGAAGAGGAAGTACTTCTCGTTGAGTGAGTGTCTTTCGACAAGTGTATCTGTGTGCGTGTGTGTGTGTCTGTGTGTGTACATGGAGGTATACCTCACATTTATGTATGGGCATATGCTATGATGATAAAACTAAATAAAATTAATCATCAGCGCTGAAATACGCCTCGCAAATATTTTGCTTGAAGCGTGAATTAGATTTCAGACAGATAGCCTTTGTATTTGTGCATACACAAACAAACATACATACACATACACGCAGACAAATATGCAAATTTCTTGTTTATCATATTAATTGGTTCTAAACAAAGATAACTTCCATGAACAATAATTGAACAGTTAAAATATGAAAGATTCAAAATATATTTTTTTGTTCAGTTTATTAAATCATTAGGGATTTTGTATGGGCTGGTTAGATGCATTAAATAGAGTGACATTTTTGAAGTTTCTTAAGGATGGAGTGATTCAAGAATGAGATAATTTCACGTCAAACATATATAAATCGGACAAGATTTAGAATCGAATGCTCAGAATCCAAGCGCTAAATTAGTACTTACAATTATTAGTACTATCTCCTACAATTTCTTCCTCAATTTGTAGGATTTTCAATATGTGAATTATAGTATCAGATCTCCATTGACGATATAAGATTTAATATACTATTATTCAATCGAAGAGAGAGAGAGAAAAAGAGAAGAGAGGGTTTTAGAAGACAAAGTAGTAGAAGATTTAGATAAAAGAATCCCTTGGAAACAATAGGAAGAAATTTAATAATGTATTCAATTAGCTAAGATCTAAAAGTTAGGAATACTTGTTCGATTTTGCTACCTTTAGTAAAGAGATGGAATAAATATGGTTACCATAAATTAGCATACCTGTACATCACCAGGTATTTCGGCTACAAGCATTCGCGCTGTTTGCTGTATCATCCTTTTTGCAACTACATCGACAACACGAAGCATCAACAAAGTTACATGACTGTATAGCATTGTTCACGTATTTCAATTTTCATTACTCAAAAAATATTTGAAATTTCTTTAAAAATTCATAGAATTATTTGTTGTCGTTTTGAAAATACCAGAAGATTCTTATAAAATTTTGCGTCAACATTATAATTTACGGTAGTAATGATAACTGAAGCAGTATGGTTACAATAGGAATTATAATCAATGCTATCAAAAGTAATTATGATAATGATATCAGATGCAGAAGTAATAATTGTCGGTTATAGTATAATTCATATTGAAATCTTTATTCTTATTGATAGCAAAAAAATGGCTATTAGTGAAATTGTAGTGATAATATTGGTAGTAATAGTAATAGCAGTAATAATAATAATATCAGAAAACTTTTTTCTTTTATTTTTTGAATGATACTGCTGCTGTAATAGATGGATTGATTAATTTTATCTGATATAATGATAAAAATTAATTAAACATTTTTTTAATTGGCGGAAATGCTATCGAAAAATACGACGCATACATTCTCTTTCACAAAAGCGCCAACTTTAAATAAGAATGAAAGTTACTTTTTGAAATTATCCTAACTTATTATGATAAAAAACTGTCAATCAAATGTTAAAATTTTGATTGTGATTTAGTGATGATGCTTAATGATGATAGTAGAGAAGCATTCTTCTTCTCCAAGCTGCTGGTAATAATGATGTTGCTGTCTATTATTATGCAGTAAAAAATTCTTTTCATGCTTTCTTCTTCCTCCTCTTCCTGTTCTTACCATTTCTCCTCCACCACCTTCTTATTTTCCTCTTCCTCTTCCTCTCTGTATCATTATCATTTCTTATCTCTTTTTATTTTTTTCAATTTTCTCTTTTAATTCTATCTATTATCATTGTCTTTCTCATTTCTCTCTTTCATGTCATAATTTTACAACAAAATTCAATGTTTATCTGAAATAATTCTTCATGTTTGTTTATTTGTTCTCATTTTTGTTTTCCCTTTCGTTTTCCACTTTTTCCGAGAATTTGGAATTAATGCAATTCTTTTCTATTTTATCATTCTTATCATTAATATTATCATTATTATCATTATTGCCATTGTTGTTATTATTATTGTTACTATTATTGTTATTGTTATTAGTATTATTATTATTATTGTCATTATTATTAGTATTGTTATTGCTCTGAGTTAAATTCTTCAATTAAAACTATACATGATTGGAAGTTACTTTTATTATCATCATTAATATCATATCACTCTTATTGGATTAACATTAATGAAAGTTAACATTATTATCATCATTACCCCGAATGATGAGCTTTAACTAATTTCATATACTTTACATTCTCTTTTTCTTCCTTAAAAAATTAAATAAGAAATAGAATAGATAAATTGAATTGGTAGTAGTAGCAGTGGTCATTGTGATAGTAAATATATTAATAATTATTGGTAATAATAATTAATAATAATATTATAATTAGTAATAGTAAAAATAATTAACAGCTATAAGATAATGATAATAATTAATGATAATTATAATAGAGCATGCACAATGGTGACAAGTGCGTTTGTAGGAAATAAGTAGACATTTTCGATTATTTCTAATGTTACATGGACAAATCAATAATTTAGTAAGTAAATAAATTAATTAAAATGATAAGAATAAATAAATGAGTAAATTAATGAGATGATTAGAGTCAGACGGATGGAAAATGCCTCAATGTAAATTATACGTACAAATACACATCACATACATCTAAATCTATGCATATATAGTAGAATAAAAGGAAGTGTTCAGTTTTCATTGCAATTATTAATGAATCTGTCATTAAAACCGTTTATTGGATTTATGCTCTTTGGAGAATAAAAGAAGAAAATGAAAAATACGGAAAAAACTAAGAGAAGAAGGAAACGATTATTCAAAGACAAATAAAATAAATGAGAAAAAAGAATTGAAATTGGTCATCGAAAGCTTATCATTCCTTTTTTTACCACTTCACTGATCGATTAAATTGTTGAAAATTTTGTTGAAATTTCTTAAAGTTGTATATTTCTGTTATGAATGAATTCTGGTAGTAATTAAATTTTGATAGATAAATTAAGCAATAAATCAACAAAATTAAACTAATTGATTGGCGAAATGTCTACAGAATATATTATAAAATAACTAATTAGTAATAATAAATAATAATAATGAATAAATAAATAATAAATAATAATAATCCTAATAATAACAATAAAATAACAAATGTGTGCATTCAAAAAATAATAATTTCTCATTAAAGGATAAGCTAAAAATTATAAGCATGAATTTTATTTTAAAAAAATATGAAGAGCTTACTTTGAATCTCTCTTCTCTCTCTCCCTCTCTCTCTCTCTCAAAAAAACGAAATAAAATAAAATCTCTTCAAAAAATAACACATTGTATATAATTGAAAAAGAACTTGAAAATATTTGACAAAATGATAAATTTTCATAATTTCGATATTTAAAATAATCATTTATGAATGCAATGAATTTTATTTTTAGTTTCATTTTTCATTTTATTTTATTCTTTTCTTTCCAACAATTTCCACAGCTAAATTCATAAAAAAATATTAAATAAAAGGAATAAAAAGAATTCATAAATATAAAACTGATAAAGAATTAGTGATAATTTTGATGTTATCAAGAGATCTAATTGAATTCTGAAAGTTTCACAGTAGATCTTCCTCTTTTTTTTTCAACGGAAAAATAAATGTGATATGATTTATGATAATTTATATTATTAAGTTGTAGAAAAAGAAAAGGTAAGAATGATAAGAGAGAAGAAATGGTTGAGATAAATTTAGGCATTATTTTAAAGTACGATAAAAAAGGCTAAATATTTTGGAGTTTAATGCGTTAGTTATCTTGTCCTCGTGATATTATGTCATTGCAATAGATTGGATATTGGCTAATTTTCCCAGGAGGATATTCATCAATTTAGGGCCTTTAACCATTTATTTTAATCTACTTGTTTGGCTTGTCAATGGATAGAGAAATATATAATAAAAGAATATGATAGGATAAGAAGAAAATTTTAGAGTTGAAACTCTGAAAAAAAAATTAAACATTAATATTATATATTGTTAGCAAAACAATAAATTGAATATATATCATCGTTGATAATTTAAACAATCATTTTAAGCATAAATAAATTAATTTATAAAACTCTAAATGTATTAATTAATTAATTTTTATTAACTAATATATCTAATTAATTTGTATCAATTAATGCATTAACAAGTATCGATTTTATCAACGAATAAATTAAAACAAAATGAATGATTTGATATTCGTTTCATCATCAATCTTCCAAAAGTCATTAAGCTTATTGCAGTCAACAGCTGTAAATAGAGGTAATAACTGGCCAAGCATCCATGTAAACGCTGTTCACAAGAAATGTCTTATTTCTAATCGTTTACATTTCACTCATTTTTACTTTGAAAAATTAAAAAATTACGAAAAAGTTTTTTCGTGAATTGTCTTTTCTTTTTAAAATAACAATTTCATTTTCATTCAAATCGACTTTGCAGCTTCTTTTAAATTAAATTTATTGTATTCTGCCCAGCAAAAGAAATTCTAAAACAATTAAAAATTAATTAAAAAGATGAAAACAATCAATTTATTGATTTAATTCTGTTCGCATTACTTTCTGCCAATAAAATACCTTAACATCAAAGTAATTAAGTCAAATAAAATTTATTCATTTATTATAATAAATAAAAGATATTGAATTTTGAAAATTTCAAAAAATTTTATGGGACAAAATTTCAGAAATAATTTATCCATTTCAAATATTATTATTTGAAAAAGCCGAAATTTTTAAGCCTAAATTGTAAACAATTTTTGGACAAATTAAAAATTTCCAAACTAAAGAAGTGATAAGTGTTGTGGAAATAAATATTAATGAAAATAGTTAATATTATACTATTTGAAATGGATAAAATGAAATAAAGTATAACTTAGTTATTTGCATATAAATTTAATAATTTTTATACTGAATTTTCATTTTTTTTCTAAAACTAGCAATATTATTTGATTATTATTGAAATGAATGAATCTTCAAATGCTTCATTCAATGAATAAGTGCTAATAATTTTTGAGGGAACAAATTAGATAATAATTTATGTAAATATCAAAATTTACATAAAGATGTAAGCAAACGACTAATTCAAACAAATAGTATAGAAAAATCCATCCAGCCAACCAACCAACCAACAAACCAACCAACCAACATCCAACATCCATCCATCCATCCATCCATATATGGTAATTTAAAAGAGAAAAAAATTTCATCAAAATTCAAATTGAATATTTTACTTGAGAAAAGCAAAATTGTTTTTATGTATAAATTCATTTTTAACGAAAAGGAAATGTTATCGAAAAAATTCGAATCACACATCCATGAAATATAACATTTATTCGCTTTCATTATCCTTTAACAAACCCAAAAAGAATATTCTGATTGATAAAAATGGCTAAATAAATTAAATTTATCGATGTCTTCGATAAGTTTAGGAAGACGAAAGATTACTTTCTTTCTTTTCCTCTTTCTTTTTTCCTTTCATATCTCTTTAGATTTGATAACGAAAAGATAAAAGGAAAGATGAGAGAAAAAGAAAAGAACGAATTATAGATATATAAATATGCAAAATTTTAATAAAATTTAAAAGAGTGAAATTTTTTTAGGATTTATAAAAATCGAAATTCTAAAAATATCATTATACTTTTTGTATTTTAGAAGAAGAATTTTATGCATCTAAAGATAATGCGATTGAAAAATAAACTTAATTGAAGTTGAAAAGTCACAAAAAAACTTTTTATCTTTACATCAATTGCAAGCAAATTTGCTAAATGACATGAAAGAGAACTATTGAAAAAATGAAATGGATTTTATTAAAAACTGAATTTGATATTTTAATGATCAAGTATGGAAATAAATAGAAAAACGAATTCAAGATTTATATTTTTGACCATTTTAACTTCAGAACTTTCTATTAATTATCATATGATGACTATTTTAATTTTCAAATTTAGACATTTTTAAATTTCAACTAATGATTGAATTTAACTTTGATCAAACTTATTTACTAATTTGATTAAGATAACAATCAATTAAAAACTTTTTGACGCATAGTTAATCATAAGTGATATTAATATTAATTGGTAAATATATTTATTATTGAAAATATTGCAAAAATTGTTTTCGCTTTACTGCTTCAATTTATAAGGATCCAAGATTAACTATGCGAAATGCAATGAAATGAAAATCAGCGCTGATTGAATTTAACTTTAATCAAACTTATTTATTTATTTCTCATTATATTTTCAATATTTGAAATATTTTAGTTCCAAAAAATAATTTCAAAAGGGCACTTTTTGGGTTTGAAAATAATAAATCTTTGAGAAAAAGAATTTATAGATGAATTTCAGAAATTATAGAAATATGAAATCAGTTAGAAAACTATACTACAAAAGTTTATTTTTAAATTATTCACCAATATTTTCAATCAGTTCATTTTAAATTTTAATATACTGTAGTACTTTTAACTTTTTTTCATTCAGAATAAATTCTAAGTTGATTTTTGTTGCAATGATTATAACAAGAAGCTAGTCACTGTAACAATTTGCGCCTACAGTAACCAATTTGCGCTTAAGGAAAGTTTAATTTTACAAGAGCATAAAGTTAACTTTATTGTATGATAAAAGAAATGTACACTTTCATGCTATTTAATTTCAACGATCGGTAAAATTTATTTATTATCAAAATTCTATTTTTTCTAACATGTTAAAAATTCCAACTAATTAAATGAAGCGATTCTGAATTTGAAAAATAGTCCTTAGACTTTTTCATCTTTCTAATTTGCGAATCTTTCATTGCCTTTGTCATAAATGGCTATAATTTTCAGAAATTTATTAAATTTTATAATCTCACTATTATCTGTGGTACTTGAAAAATGATTATCTTATTTGTCATTTCAACTTCAACTTGAATAATAATCCTAAAATTATGCAATTTTAGGCATACTTGACTGTTTTTTTTCATCTATCCCTTTTTAAAATCAATCTATGCGTTTTATTTTTTTGAAAAGTTTCGTAAGAAAATTATGCATTTCGATTTGCTTAAACCATACATATATTTTATTTTGATTGAATAATTTTTGGATTTTAGAAATTTCGGAAAATTTATTAGCATTTCGAAAAGATGAAATTTATTGTAACATAAAACATATTTGCATTTATGTAAAACTTTGAAAAAAGTTACATAATAATGCATTTTATTGGAATCCGAGGATTACAACAAAGTGAACAATTTGGCAGTTTTATTTTCCATTTTGGAAATTTTCGCCCTGTACTTGAACAAGATGGTAAAGGTGGCAATAAATCTAATTCATCTGATGCTGAATCACCATCAATTTCCACTTCATCTGTTAACCTAAAATATATCAGTAGTTTAGATGAAATTAAAAGCAGTAGAAGTTTGCATCATATTTTGTCATATCCTTGAAAAATTATTTTATTTCAACAGAACTACTTTTTCTAATCATTACTTTTATAAAATAATAAATGTTTCAGTATTTCTCGGTAGAGTTATCGAGAAATATGTTACAACTATTACTACTTCAGGGAAAGTTAATAATGCTATCTTTAAATACTAAATCTATTGGCTCTTTTAATAAATATTTGCAAAATGTTTATTACCTGGAAATTTCTCTTTCATTATGTGACACATATGTATTCTTATTTAATTTCTTGCGCAAGCAATCACTAGTAGTATGATTATCAGCATTAGTGCGATCAATTAACAGTTCATCATCTAATGTCGGATCCAATCCAAGCGTATATTTTTCATGATTTGTTAATACCTGATGAAAATCGTTATCAAATTCATCATTCAATGTAAATTGCGTATAATCTTCTGCTAATACACGAAATGTTCCTGAAAAAATTTCAGTGCATTAAAATTTATTAAAAATATCATAAATGATAAATTAAAATATCATAAATTAAGTCAATCAATAAAAAGTAGTAATAAAAGAAATTTTTCGTGTTAGGGAAGTTGAAAATTTTTTTAAATAAATATGTAATTTCATGCATTAAATATAAATGATTAAATAAATTATAATTTTTATATCCTAAAATTTACTCTAAAAAACTTCGATTAGAATTTCAATCATTTTCACAGTTATTTTTTGTGATACGAAAAATTTTAATGAATAATTTAGGAAAATAAACTTAATGTTTGCATACGGTTGCTTTTACAAAATGAAATATCATTTATGCAAATGTCATATGATAACAATTTGCAGACGATTAATGCTAATAGTATTTTATGCAAATATTTAATCCTATTAGAAGACATTTAAATTTATAAAATTGTTTAAACTTTTAAATAATATAATAGAAAAAGTTTTTTTGACAGCTATTAAAATTATTCGAAATAAAAATTTATTTAAAAGACAAACATACCACTTCTCCTTTTCGTTGGATTATTATTGCAAACAACGGAACTATTTGAATTATTGCTGACCATTGCTGTGGACGATGATGCTATTGCATTCATTGAAGAGATTGCTATAATTGAGATTGAAATAATGAAATTATTATAGCGGTAGAAAAACACGATAATGAATTCTATATATTTGTATTAGTAATGAAGAAATTATAACAAATTTCGTAATTATCACAATTTGAAAAAAGCTGTTCAAATTTCACATTTATAAGTTGTGGAAATAAAAACAACAATAATCATAAATTACTTTAATAATATAATTTAATTGATATATTTAATTTGTAGCATAAATAAAAATGGAAGAGCGATTGAAGAAAGCAGGAGAGTTTAATCTTTCAAGAAATTTTATAGTGAAATTAAAAGAGGAAAACTCACGTATCAATTTTAGAAAAATAAAAATAAATCCAAAGGCTATGTCGCAAAAAGGAAAACTTCGTAACTAAAGATAAATTTAAAAATTTTTTGCAACAGTGTTTAGTCAATTTTTTCTTTGTTTGATTCTAATGAACATTTTTATCGAATGAGAATTTACGTTAGACAACAAATGACTCAAAACAAACATGTCATAAAGATGAAATAATAGATTGATAGAAGAAACAATTGAGATAAGTGATTTGAAATAATTAAACAACTGACATTTATCATGCTGAAGTATCAATGATAACATAAATATCACAATATCTTACTTCTTGTTTTATATGAAATATAAAATATTAAAATATTTATTAAAATATAAAATATTTATTAAAAAAATTTGCTGGAATAAGTATTAAAATATCTGTATTGTAATTGGATAAAAATTTTTTTAGTTTTTATAAGTATGCAAGAAATTTTAATAAATGATGGAAATTTTAATGAATATAGATATTTGAGATAATGGGAATGAAATTCGAATGCATTATTTTGGTGTTGCAGCTTTCCAAATCTTCCAATAATCTAATAGCTATTTTGGTATTATTATTAAAGTAATTTAGCACACGCTTTTAACAGATCAAAATTATATTAAATTAAGATAATTTTTCTTTCTAGAAAAATTATTAAATTTAAATTTAAACATTTGAAAATTTGGTATAATTAAGTATAATAGAGTACTAGAAAATTTAGTATTTCTCCAAATTTTACAGTATACTTGTGTTGCCAAAACGTACTGTGTGCTTACTGTAGCCAAATGTACAGTATACTTACCCTAGCCAAAATGTACAATATACTTAATAATAAGGCTTAATAAAATACTGTAAATCTGAGAGAATAGAGATATTTATGCGGAATACTTTTAATACTAATTCGAGAAAATTCGAAATATTAGATTAAGGTTTGAATTATTTATAAAAAAATGAATGACTGACTGATTTGGAATATTTTTATCAGAATGAAAAACGATTTATTTCGTTAAATCATTCATTGCAAAAGAAAATAAAATAATAAATTGAAAGGAATGATTTACAATAATTTTTAATAAAAAAATGATCAGAATTTCTTTTCAATTATTTCCTAAAATAAATCAAATTGTAAGAATATAACATTTCCTTGATTTTATTTAACATTCATTTTTCCTAACAAATAATCAACACTTCATCAATCTATCATCACAACAAATCAAATTTGCTTTAGCATTTGTCAACAGATTAGAGTTGACATCGCTAATGGAAGTTGCAGCATTTTCTGTTGTGATAATAAACATAATAATTTCGAATGTCCAAAAATTAATGATTAAATATTAAGTCAAATAGAGAAAGTATACTTTTTCAAAATAACAATTTGGAAAATTTGCATTCGAAAAATTGATTTGTTAGGAAAATTTCAAAATTTAATTCTATCCCTCTCAAAATAAAAGTTTGAAAATGAAAAAAGATATTTTGTTTCATAAAGTAATGAATGAAACATTTGTAAAAAGAGAATATGAACGAACAATATGTTAAATGATTCAGACTAATTGTTGACAGTTGTGATATAGATATGATTAATTAAAAAGAAAAGAAAAGGAATTGATCTAATTATGAATATGCAAAATGAACAGAAGTGATCCGTTTTTTTCCTTTTCTTTTTAAAATATTTATTTTATGTTACATACAATTTAGCATAGAGCAATGGTAGATATGGATGAAATGATAAAAATATTGCGGAATGAAGAGAGAAAGGAGAGTTAAGATGGAAGTTCGATGGTAATAATTTATAGGCTCATTCATTTGTGACCCACAATTATATGGCCTCGGAAATTAAATTTTCTATTTGCTGATTAAGCTTAACTTGTGATATGAATAGTGCCAGTTAATTTTAGTTGATTAACTGAAAACTTTCTCCGTTGTATGTCCTACGCCATGCTTTTATCATACTGGCATAAAGCAAATAGCTAAAATAGCTAACCAGAAAAAAAGTAAAATTATTAGCTCTATAAAATTGGCCAATGAAAAATACACTTCAAATTTTTCCCTTCTTTGACTTCATTCTGATTTCAATCGATAACAATTAATCTAACTTTATATGTCCTCCAATAGGTAAATAATATAGTTGCATATGTTTCATGCATAATCCATTTCTGATAAGCTAAAAAAAAATAAATAGTATTGGCTGGCATATAAATATTACGAACAAGTAGTAGTAAAGTGAGCTTATTGACTAGGCTCTTTTCTCCCTCTCTATCTCTCTTTGCTGTTAATGTAAAAATATTTGGCCAAATGTTTTCTACTTTATCGTTTCGATATAACATAACAAATAAACTAAGTGAATGTGTAAAATGAAATGTTAATCAAAAAGGGAAGAAATTTGATGATTGTAAGTGAAATGGTCTACATAAGGGATATATGTATATATTTTAAAATTTAAAGAAAATTGCTTGATAAAAATAATGTATTATGAGAGTAAGCTTGATGATACGTAAGCTGTCAGCTATTTAGGGATCAATTTTGCATGGGAAAATGTAAATTAGAGTCTTTTTCTAAGAATGAGTAAATTTAAGGACGAAAGAAAATGAATGAATAGAGGAAGCAGCAGAAATGCTTTATGAATGAGGAAAACCAAAGGGAATATGATTATTCCATTCTTTGAATAATACCCGAATGTGGTCCGTCTAACAATTAGTATCTGACAGACGGATAAATATAAGTAAAGTTACTATTGCGGAATATGTGAAATATATATACATTGAATGGAAGAGAGAAGAAATGTTGTCCAGTTGGTCCTCTCATATTGAGTTGATTGATTAGAGGTGAAATTTCTTTTTGCTTATCGAATTTGATTGATGAAAAGGAGAGAGAGAGAGAGAGAGAGAGAAAAGAAGGAGAGGGAGACAAAAAGATAGCCTTATTATGATGGTACTTTATTCGGATTCAGGAAGGCAATAAGGTGAAAAATTTTTGAATCACATGGTCAGAATCTCTCTTAACTTTCCATTCAAATTGACCACGAACTCTTTCTTCCATATCTCATTCTCTCTTTCTTCTTCCCTTCCTATCTCTCTGTCCCTCTGTCCCTTTTTTGTCCACCCAATTGGCCTTAGCAACAAATAGATCGATTAAGGATACATCGATGCTATATCTCACATTCTACATCATCCACTTACAAATATATATATATAATTTTTGCTCTTAAAATATGCCTAAATTAAGGATAACAATTATTTGGCGCAAATTGCTACAACAATAAATCATCCAATAATGCTAAATAGCATTCAACTGAACAACAATTTGATATTGTTCCATACGCAATTAATAATTATGAAAATTTTATTATAATTAATGCTTTGTTGACAACTACGATATAACGATTGACGATTATATTTCAAATTTAGCTTAATTTATTACAGATAGAGGAACATTTAATCAATCATAACAAGTAAGTTCCTCAGAAAGAGTTTCTTTTCTTTTCTTCTTCATCATAGTAATTTTAAGTAATTTAGTAAGTTTAAGTAATTCACGTTGTTTTGAAATTTTGCGAAATGAATGATAGAAGATATTTAGGCATATTTTATTATAATTTTATTGATCGATTATTTGAAATTTTTAAAAATTTTCAAAAAAAATTATTGACGAAATTTAATTCGCAGTTTTACGATAGATTATTTAAAATTTAATAATAACAAACAAAGTCCCTTCTTGGTCCTTTCTTGGTCATTTACCCTTCTTGGTATCTTCGTGGTCAATTGCCCTTCTTAGTGCCTTCGTAGTCAATTGCCCTTCTTAGTGCCTTCGTAGTCAATTGCCCTTCTTGGTCTCTTCTCGGTCAATTGCAAAACTTAAATTCATTCTGGCACTGATTGTAATTTGCTTAAAGATTTCTATTACGTGATACTCAAGGAAATGTGATACTTTAGAGAATTCATTATCTCACACAAAACCATTTCTCATAAGTAAAAGCAATATTGCATTTAATTCTTATCAAATATTTTAAGGCTTGAAGCTGAACTAGCAAAATACTTTTAGCATAAAAGATTTTATAGGAGAGATATTTTATCTGATCTCTATAAGATATGCGATTAAGAAGGAATAAATCAAACAATTTTCCATTTTCTTTTCATTATCATTATATTGACGGATATATTTAGCTGATAAAAGATAAATATATTTCAAGCCATTCATATCTTTTGCAAGCACAGTGAATTAATTGATGATTGATATTAGAAGTTCTTTACTTCCTTTTTCGAATGTTCAAAAACTTTTTTTGCTGTATCAAACCATTAAATGTTTTTTTGTTTTACCACAAATTTTTCATTCTAAAAAAAGAGCAAAATAAGTCAAACCCATTAACTGAATTCATCGTTTTTCAGGAAAGAAAACAAAATCAATTCTGAATTCATCGTTTTTCAGGAAAGAAAACAAAATCAATTCTGAATTCATCGTTTTTCAGGGAAGAAAACAAAACCAATTAAATTTAACCTCTATTAAAAATGATTAAAATTAATCATTTAGAAAATTAAAAATTAATTGTTGAAATAAATTAGTATGAAAAAATTTTCGCTATTTGATTCGTTTTACGACAAAATTTTTCTATTTCAAAGATTAGTAAAAATGGATTACAAATTGAATATTTCAATTATTTCATTTCTCGTAATTCTT